AAAGTAGAAGATTTAATTCCTCATTTCTGTAACAAACAGTAGTATTCTCTGAATTATATTTGTCCATGATAGAGGTAAACACATGGAAAGTGATCATATATATGATTGTGTACTAGTAATCCCTCTTGATTTCAGCATACCCACCAACTATCTGGGCTTGATAAGGAAGGCCTTGATTAATCATATGCTTTCTCACTTTCTCAGTTGCTTTTAAAATGTTGCAGTTTCTCACCTCTCCTCCTGCTTTCACCTTTTGTCGTGGCCTTCCTAAAGGTGTGGCAATATGAATTCTAAGTGCAAAGTGTTTAATTCATCAGGAAGAAGGGTGGAGTTTTGCCCTTCCCAGTAGTCTCAGGATGTACTAAACTCAGTGCTTAAATTCCAGGGTATTGTGTGCTCTTCCTCATTAACAACCTTTGTACTTTTTTTGCTTGGCACACCTTTTTGGCCACACTCTGAAAGCCTATCCCTTTCCGCCTGGGAAATGTTGGAGGGTAGGATTTCACTCAGTCTTCAAAATTACACCCTCAGTTTACAATATGAAATACTAAATTATAAACTAGGATGAATATTGTGTTGTCGAAGTTTTTCATGGCTAGAATCACTGGGTTGCTATGAGTTCTCCGGGCTGTATGACCATGTTCCGGAAGCATTCTCTCCTGACGTTTCACCCACATCTATGGCGTGCATCCTCAGAGGTTGTGAGGTTTGTTGGAAACTAGAGAAGTGATGTTTATATATCTGTGGAATGTCCAGGGAATTGTGAATGTTGCAAATGGCCACCTTGATTAGCATCTAGTGGTCTTGCAGCTTCAAAGACTGGCTGGTTACTGCCTGGGGGAATCCTTTGTTGGGAGGTGTTAACTGGCCCTAATTGATTCTTGTCTGCGATTCTTCTGAGTGTTTTTGAGTGTTGCTCTTTGTTTACTGTTCTGATTTTAGAGTTTTTTAATACTGGTAGCCAGATTTTGTTCATTTTAATGGTTTCCTCCTTTCTGTTGAAATTGTCCACATGGCTGTGGGTTTCAATGGCTTCTCTATGTAGGCTGACATGATAGTTGTTACAGTGGTCCATCATTTCTGTGTTTGCAAATAATATTCTGTGTCCAGGTTGGTTATCAGGTGCTTTGCTATGGTTGACTTCTCTGGTTTAATTAGTCTGCAGCACCTTTCATGTTTCTTGATTTGTGTTTGGGCAATGCTATGTTTGGTGGTCCCTATGTAGACTTGTCCACAGGTGGCCATTGCAACATTCACACTTGCCTCAAGCAGACCTTTCTCCCACCCTGGACATTCCACAGATATATAAACCTCACTTGCCTAATTTCCAACAAACCTCACAACCTCTGAGATGCCTGCCATAGATGTGGGTGAAATGTCAGGAGAGAATGCTTCTGGAACATGGCCACACAGCCCAGAAAACTCACAGCAACCTAGGATGAATATCATTTGCATGCAGCCACCGTACAACCATCTATGACAGAATTGTTTTGCAAAAGCCTAAATGAGTCCTGCCTAAGAACAGCTGCAGGTGCATCTACACTGGAATCAATGTGATTTGACACCACTTTAATTGCTAAATAGACTAAATGCTATGTAATGCTGGGAGTTGCAGTTTGGTAAGGCCACAGCTCTCTTTGGCAGAGAAGGCTAAAAGCTTTGTAAAAAAATACAACTCTCTTGATTCCATAGCATTGACAGTTTAAGTGGTATCAGACCGCATTCATTCTATGGTATAAATACACACTCGATCAATACAGGGTCAGTGCATCTGCACTTGAGAATTAATGCAGTTGTCACCACTTTTTACTGTCATTGCTCAACTTTAGGAATCCTAGGATTGTTGAGGCATCAGCACTCTTTGGCAGAGGAGGCTAAAACTACCATTCCTGAGATTCCATAGCATTGAGCCATGACAGCTAAAATGATATCAAACTGCATTAATTCTACAGTGTAGATGCATCCTTAGCTTTACAACCCTCCAAGAATACTGAATTAGAAGGAAGTTGGCTTCCTTAAAGTAAATTTAGGCAGTTTACTGAACTTCTATCCCAAGATGGGATTCATTGGAGAAGTGTTTTCCGACGCTCCTGGATGAAATTTGTGCCTTAATATAAGGCAACTGCTCATCCATATCTTCAGGCCTCTACACTGTAGAATTAATGCACTTTGAGACCCCTTTGAACTGCTACCGTTCAATGCTATGGAATAATGAGAGTTGTAGTTGTACAAGACGGGAAGGAATCCCACTGGAGAATTGAAGTTCACCCAAATACCCCGGAGTCACCCTGGACCATTCTCTGGCCTACAAGAAGCACTGCTTGAATATCAAGCAAAAAGTGGGTGCTAGAAACAATATCAGACTGGCAACAAAGATCCGCCTAGTCAAAGCCATGGTATTCCCTGTAGTCACCTATGGATGTGAGAGCTGGACCTTAGGGAAGGCTGAGCGAAGGAAGATAGATGCTTTTGAACTGTGGTGTTGGAGGAAAGTGCTGAGAGTGCCTTGGACTGCGAGAAGATCCAACCAGTCCATCCTCCAGGAAATAAAGCCCGACTGCTCACTGGAGGGAAAGATACTAGAGACAAAGTTGAAGTACTTTGGCCACATCATAAGGAGACAGGAAAGCCTAGAGAAGACAATTATGCTGGGGAAAGTGGAAGGCAAAAGGAAGAGGGGCCGACCAAGGGCAAGATGGATGGATGGCATCCTTGAAGTGACTGGACTGACCTTGAGGGAGCTGGGGGTGGTATCGGCCGACAGGGAGCTCTGGCGTGGGCTGGTCCATGAGGTCACGAAGAGTCGGAGACGACTGAACGAATGAACAACAAGAAACAATACCATACGAAAGTTGACTAGCACAACCTGGGGATCACAACCAGATACAGTGAAGACATCTGCCCTTGCGCTTTGGTACTCTGCGGCTGAGTAAGCATGCCCAGTGTGGAACACATCTCACCATACTAAAACAGCGGATGTGGCTCTTAATGAAACATGCCGCATTATCACAGGCTGTCTGTGCCCTACATCACTGAAGAAATTACACTGTTTAGCTGGTATTGCACCACCTGACATCCGCTGGGAAGTAGCAACTAATAATGAAAGGACCAAGGCAGTGACATCTCCGGTCCATCCCCTTGTTTGGATATCAGCCAGCACGCCAACGCCTTAAATCAAGAAATAGTTTTCTAAGATCTATAGAGATACTCACAGGAACACCTCAGCAAATGGGAGTCCAAAAGTGGCAGGTTAAAACCCAGCACCTTGATCCATGGCTGATACCGAATGAGAGACTCCCTCCTGGGCACACAGAAGACTGGGCAACTTGGAAGGCGCTGAACAGACTGTGCTCTGGCACCACAAGATGCAGAGCCAACCTTAGGAAATGGGGTCACAAAGTGGAGTCCTTGACATGTGAGTGTGGAGAAGAGGAAAGCACAGACCACCTACTGCAATGCAGTCTGAGCCCTGCCACATGCACAATGGAGGACCTTCTTAAAGCAACACCAGAGGCACTCCAAGTGGCTAGCTACTGGTCAAAGGATATCTATATAAATAAAAATGTAATGTTCATTTGTGGGATTAAAATAACTAAAAAACCACTGGACGAATTGACAACAAATTTGGACACAACATATCTATCAGGCCAACGAATGACCATCACTCATAAAAACACTGAAAAACACAGCAGAAGAAACTTTAAAAGCCAAAAAATGAAAAATAAATTACAATGCACATGCAAAACCACATATATACACAAACACACATATATGCACATATACACAAACATATACATATATATACACACACATATATACCCACAAAAAACACATCTACACAGACTGGGCCACAGCAATGTGTGGCAGGGGACAGCTAGTCGATATAAATAAAAATGTAATGTTCGTTTGTGGTATTAACATAACTCGAAAACCACTGGGCGAATTGACACCAAATTTGGACACAACACACCTATCAGGCCAACGAGTGACCATCACTCATAAAAACACTGAAAAACACAGCAGAAGAGATGTAAAAAGTCAAAAAACAAAAATTACAATGCATGCACAAAACCACATATATATGTACAAATACACATTCACATTTACACAAATATATTACTGTTTTTAAATTGTTTTAAATTGTTTTTAAATTGTGTTCAATTTTAGCCTGTTCTTGTAAGCCGCTCCGAGCCCCAGGGGAGTGGCGGCATATAAGTTCGAAAAATAAATAAAATAAAATAAATATATACACACACAAAACTCATATAGACAGACTGGCCTACAGCAACGCATGGCAGGGGACGGCTAGTTTATTATAATGCTAAGTTGTTTAAACTTTGTGTTTTCCCAAAATCATCACAACTGTACCCTTGGTTATACGATTAATAAATTGTATAAGGTCTTCGGCCTTCTCTTGCCAAAGAGTGTTGGAGCCTCACTGAACTACAACTCCCTAAATTTCACTGTACAGTTAAAGTGGTGTCAAAGGGTTTTGGACTTCAACTCTTACAATTCGTAACAGGCAAACTTGGGCCCTCCAGGTGTTTTGGACTTCAACTCCCACAATTCCTAACAGCCTACTACAGCTCCCAGAAGCCCCCAGCCTGCAGGCTGGGGGCTTCTGGGAGCTGTAGTAGGCTGTTAGGAATTGTGGGAGTTGAAGTCCAAAACACCTGGAGGGCCCAAGTTTGCCCATGCCTGGTGTGGATGCACTCCTAGGGAAAGGTCGGTGCACTGGCCCTTTAAGGATTCCCTCCTCCACCGCCACCCGCCCTTCCTTTCTAATCACGACGCTTAAAAAAAAAAAGCCTTTACCTACAGCCGATGACATAATTCCTCTGCTGTAATTGGCCGCTTGCTACCTCAGTCACCTTGGGCCGCCCCGCCCCTTTCCGCGCGTGAGTCACTCGGCAGGCCGTTGACGGGTGCTCGCGCGCCGCTTAATCCGCCTCCGCGCACGCCGATTGGCTGCCTGGCCTGTCAGTCTCAGTGGTTGGTGGGTGGGAGCTTCCGTGGCTGTGAGGAGCCGAGCCGGTGGCGGCAGCAGCAGCAGCAGCAGAGTCGGAAGCAGTGGAGGGGTGCTTTTGCTCTCTCTCTCTCTCTCTCTCTCTCTCTGAGGGAAGTTTCCTTCTTGGTTGAAGAAGACGAAGGAAAAGGAGGAGGAGGAGAAGAAGAAGGCCGCCATTATTTATTAAACACACCGGCGACAGGGATGAGGGCGTGACCAGGTGAGTAAGAAGAGGGAGGCTTCGGCCTGGCGTGAGGGAAGCGTGCCAGCAGCAGCAGCAGCAGTAAGAAGGAGCTCCTCCATGCATGGGGCAGCAGGAGGGAACCGCCCCTCAGGAGAGGCCCCAACCGCGCCCTTTATCCTCTGGGAATCTCTCAAATGAAATAAAATAAACACTCCCCTCAGTTTCATGCAGTGACCCACCGCCAAGGCCTCCTCCCTCCTCACTAGGGACTTTATCCCTCAGCCTCCCAGTGTTGGATCCCTGCCTCCTCTGCTGTGGATGCCTCTAGAAAAGCCTCTCCATCCCCTTCCCTCTCCTCAGCCTCAAGACTTCTCTCTCTCTCTCTTTCCTTTCCCTCAACGCCCCCGCCTTTCTGTCGTGCTTTTCTCCCACTCTGCAGCATAATAATTACACTGGAGGATGAATGCAGCTTGGCACTGCTTGAGCTGCCATGGCTTCATGCGATTGGATCCTGGGAGTTGTAGTTTGGTGAGGCACCAGCACGGCTAAAGCTACAGCTCTCATGTTTCCATAGCATTGAGCCATGCTAGTCCCAAGTGGTGGCAAACTGCATTCATTCTGTAGTACAGAGATGCATTTAAAACAATGGTTCCCAACCTTTTTTTGACCAAGGCCCACTTTGACCGGGGTCCACTTTGACCAGGGCCCAAGTGGTGCCAAACTGCATTCATTCTGTAGTATAGAGATGCATATAACACAGTGGTTCCCAACCATTTTTTGACCAGGGCCCACCTTGACTGGGAACCACTTTAATCAGGGCCCAAGTGGTGTTAAACTGCATCCATGGGCCCACCTTGACTGGGGTCCACTTTGCCAAGGGCCCAAGTGGTGTCAAACTGCATTCATTCTGTGGTATAGAGATGCATATAACACAGTGGTTCCCAACCTTTTTTTGACCAGGGCCCACCTTGACTGGGGACCACTTTGACCAGGGCCCAAGTGGTGTTAAACTGCATTCATTGGCCCGCCTTGACTGGGGTCCACTTTGACCGGGGACCACTTTGACCAGGGCCCAAGTGGTGTCAAACTGCATTCATTCTGTGGTGTAGAGATGCATATAACACAGTGGTTCCCAACCTTTTTTTTGACCAGGGCCCACCTTGACTGGGGACCACTTTAACCAGGGCCCAAGTGGTGTTAAACTGCATTCATGGGCCCGCCTTGACTGGGGTCCACTTTGACCGGGGACCACTTTGACCGGGGCCCAAGTGGTGTGAAATTGCACTCATTCTGTAGTGCAGAGATGCATTTAAAATAGTGGTTCCCAGCCTTTTTTTGACCAGGGCCTGCTTTGACCAAGGAATGCTTTGATCAGGGACCAGTTTGAACGGGGCGCAAGTGGTGTCAAACTTTATTCATTCTATAGTGTAGAGATGCATTAAAAACAGTGGTTCCCAACCTTTTTTTGACCAGGGCCCGTATGACCGAGGCCCAAGTGTTGTCAAATTGCATTCATTCTATAGTGCAGAAATGCATTTAAAACAATGGTTCCTAACCTTTTTTTTGACCAAGGAACGCTTTGACCAGGGACCACTTTGCACGGGGCGCAAGTGGTGTCAAACTTTATTCATTCTGTAGTGTAGATATGCATTTAAAGCAGTGGTTCCCAACCTTTTTTTGACCAGGGCCCGCCTTGACTGGGGCCCACTTTGACCGGGGCCCAAATGGTGTCAAACTGCATTCCTTCTATAGTGTAGAGATGCATTTAAAACAGTGGATCCCAACCTTTTTTTGACCTGGGTCCACATGACCTGGGCCCAAGTGGTGTCAAATTGCACTCATGCTGTAGTGCAGAGGTGCATTTAAAACAATTGTTCCCAACCTTTTTTTGACCAGGGCCCGCTTTGACCAAGGTCTACTTTGAACAAGGAATGCTTTGACCTTGGACCACTTTGAACGGGGCTCAAGTGGTGTCAAACTTTATTCATTCTATAGTGTAGAGATGCATACAGTGGTTCTCAACCTTTTTTTGACCAGGGCCCGTATGACCGAGGCCCAAGTGTTGTCAAATTGCACTCATTCTGTCTTGCAGAAATGCATTTAAAACAATGGTTCCTAACCTTTTTTTTGACCAAGGCCCACTTTGACCAAGGAACGCTTTGACCAGGGATCACTTTGAACTGGGCGCAAGTGCTGTCAAACTTTATTAATTCTATCGTGTAGATATGCATTTAAAACAGTGGCTCCCAACATTTTTTTGACCAGGGCCCACCTTGACTGGGGTCCACTTTGACCGGGGCCCCAGTGGTGTCAAACTGCATTCATTCTGTAGTGTAGAGATACATTTAAACAGTGGTTCCCAACCTTTATTTGAACAGGGCCCGCCTGACGGGGGCCCAAGTGGTGTCAAATTGCACTCATTCTGTAGTGCAGAAATGGATTTAAAACAATGGTTCCCAACCTTATTTTTCCAAGGCCCACTTTGACCAAGGAATGCTTTGACCAGGGCCCACATTGATTGCGGCCCAAGTGGTGTCAAACTTCATTCATTCCATAATGTAGAGATGCATTTAAAACAGTAGTTCCCAAACTTTTTTTGACCAGGGTCTGCCTTGTCTGGACAGGGCCCAAGTGGTGTCAAACTGCATTCATTCTGTAGTGTAGAGATGCATTGAAAACAGTGGTTCCCAATCTTTTTTTGACCAGGGCTCGCCTTGACTGGGGTCCACTTTGACTGGCGACCACTTTGACCAGGGCTCAGTGGTGTCAAACTGCATTCATTTTGTAGTGTAGAAAGGTATTTAAAACAGTAGTTCCTAACCTTTTTTTTGACCAAGGCCCGCTTTGACCAGGACCCGCCTTGACTGAGGACCACTTTGACCGCGGTCCAAGTGGTGTCAAACTGTATTCATTCTGTAGTCTAGAGATGCATTTAAAACAGTGTTCCCAACCTTTTTTTGACCAGGGACTGCTTTGACCAGGGATCACTCTCCAATGTTTGTACCAAAAGGGGTGGGGTTGGTCAGCTCTGTGGAAAGGAGCGGAAATAAAATAAAATAAATAAATAAAGAGGAAGGAGGTTCGTGGACCGGATTTTCGTTCTTGCAGTCTACAGGTTGAGAACCACTGATTTAAAATAAAAGAGTGTAGAAGCACTTTCACTGTTTCCTGTGCTCCTACTCCAGAGCAGAAGTGAGTATGGATCTCCCCCCCCCGCCCTGTCCCACCCTAGACAGTCCCTAGAAAAAAAGAAAACATGGACTTCCTGTTGTAGACTGTTAGGGGGAGGGTTAAGTAAGTGAATACAGGCAGTTCTCAAGTTACAAACATTCAACTTACAAACATTCAACTTACACTGTTTCCTGTGCTCCTACTCCAGAACAGAAGTGAGTATGGATCTCCCCACCCCACCCCAGATGGCCCCTAGAAAGAAAGAAAATATGGATTTCCTGTTGCAGACTGTTAGGGGGAGGGTTAAGTAAGTGAATACGGGCAGTTCCCAAGTTACAAACATCTAACTTGCAAACAATCAGAGCCACCTAAAAAAAATCTGGCTATCGGTATTTAAAAACTCTAAAAGCAGGACAGTAAATAAAGAGCAACACTCAAAAAACAGGGGTATTCCAGGCAGGAATCAATCAGGGCCAGAGGGCCAGCTAGCACTTCCCAATAAAGAATTCCCCCAGGCAGGAAGCAGCCAGGCTTTGAAGCTGTAAGGTAATTCAGTGCTAATCAAGGTGGCCAGTTGCAACATTCACACTTGCCTCAAACTGACAAGAGTTCTTTCTCCCACCCTGGACATTCCACAGATATATAAACCCCATTTGTCCAGTTTCCAACAGACCTCATAACCTCTGAGGATGCCTGCCACGTATGTGGGTGAAATGTCAGAGGAGAATGCTTCTGGAACATGGCCATATAGCTCGGAAAACTCACAGCAACCAAAACGTTTCATAGTGGGGGTGGGGGGGTAAGACAACAGGATGTGAGAAATAGACTCCTGAAAGAGTTATTATGTGGGAAAGGGAATCAATTGAAGCTTTACCACCAGTTCTTGTTTCCACAGCAAGCCATTTTTTTTTCAAAATTCAGTAATCACAGGGATAGAAAGTGAAGTGAAGTCTTCTGAGCAGGGGCGCAGATAGCAAAAGAGATACCACAGGGGTATTAACCCTTCCCTATTCTATCCAAAACTTGTGTCTGTCTGTCTATGTATCTATTAGGCTTGGGCGGTTTCATTCGTTAATTTCGTAATTCGTTATTAATTCGTATTTAAATTAGCTTACGATCCAATATTGAGCCATGCAGGACTACTGTGAGGAGTAATTAAAAATCGAATCAATTTTTCCAATTTATTTCGTATTGTTTCATAATTGGTTCAAAATTGTTTCGAAATTGTTTCGTAATTATTTCCGTATGTCTGGTGCAAGTTTTAGAGTTGTTGTTTGTTTTATCAGTGATAAAAATAAATTATCACACCAACAGTCAACAACAGAGGGAGAGAGGGAAGCTTCAGAAGCTCCCTATCCCATTTGGAGTTTTTTTTTTTTTAGCATATTGCGCAATCGCGTCCGCCATTAACAAATCGACTCGTAATTTTACGAAATTTCGTATATTTCGAACTTTTTTAAAGGAAAATTTCGGAATTCTTTAAAAAAACGAAACGCAAGGGCCCCCCTAAAAACGAAATGAGTTTAGAACCAAATTTTTCTGTGGTTACCCAAGCCTAGTATCTATCTATCTGCATACATGGTTGGAGTTATACATAAAAATGTACCTGTTCTGACTTGCATACAAATTCAGCTTAAGAACAAACCTACAGAACCTATCTAGTTTATAACTTTGGGACCACCTGTATAACAGTGAATGAGTGGGGAGGTATTCCAAACAGCTTAAAAGTGTGGTATGACACAACTCTAATTACTATATCTCGATATTGTAGAATCTTTGGAGTTGTAGTGTTTTCAGTCATCTCTACCAAAGAGTGCTGGTGCCTCACTGAAGAACTAATCCCATGATTCCATAGCATTGAACCA